CATTCACCTGGACTCCTACAGCCGCACATTGGCAGGGCTGAGAGCGGCCATGATTAGTCTAGGAAGTCTTGACAGCAGCTCAGAACCACGGCAGCCTGCCACCCGCTGAGCTGCCCCTTCCACCACCACGTCAAGCCTTGTGGAAGCCAGGAGTGGTCTCAGGGTGAGCTCTGAGAGATCCTCAAAGGTTGGCCTGCTTCAAAGCATTCCTTAGAGACTTTCTATGATCAAACTGCATTTAGGTATGCATTGTGTTACTTGGGAGATGTGTCACAGTCATTAACTGATCATTTAACTGCAAATCTATCCACTCTTAAAATACACCTAGTACGGCTCCTCAATGCCATGTATAAAGTCCTCAATATTTAGCTTGGTAAAGGATGCCCATCTGCCTGCTCTGCGGCTGTCTCTCTCCCCTGTCCCCTGACCTCCTACCCCTTATGCTCTATCCACACGCAGCTACATCCAATACCAAATGCCATTTATGTCCTTCCTGCTTCTTCCTCCTTCCTCTGCTCGCTGTGCTCTTCCCTACCTTGTAGACCCACAAACATCTCATCTCTCAAGATTCAGCCTCGCTAACCCTTGTCAACCTTTCCCTAAGCACACTGTAGGCAGAAATAACCACTCTCTCGGTCACCCTAGTGCCGATACATACTTCTGTTAGACCACTTAGAATATTCTATAACACCCGTGTCCATTTCCTGTGTCTGTATTCCCTGCTGGACCATAAACTCCTAAGGGCTGGGTCTGTATGAAACGGATGTTCGTGTCTGGCTCAGAGCAGTTGATTTAAAATATTTGTTGGATGGAGGCATGCGTGAATGGATAAGGACCAAGGTGTCTCTGTTAATCTTCTGGGTTCTGGTAATACAGGGATGAAGGCCCTCTCCCTGCCCTCCAAGAGCTCAAGGCAGATGACAGAAAACAAGTAACAAAGGACGATGAGATAGAATAAGTCAGGCCACAGCATGTGAGCCCAGCCATGGGCATGTGAGCTCAGCTGAGTGTCACCCATTCCGGTGGAGAAAAGAGGCGTGCTCAAGGATACCTCCTACAGGAGTCAACACATGATCTGGATCTGGATCCTGTTGGACCAGGGGAGTCAGCCACAGAGGAAGGGGAGGGAGCGGCACATTAGGCAGAGGGATGAGCAGGTCCCAAGCAATGAAGGTGTGAGTAGCAGCAGTGTGGAAATGGCTCCGACTCCACCGAGCTGGAATAAAAGGAGAAATGTGGGGGAAAGACAGCAACACAGATCAAGAGGCAAGGGAGGACCCATCACGCAGGGCCACAACCTCACTAGGGAATCTGGAGTTTTTCCTTAAAAAAAAAAGGAACACTTCTAAGAACAAGAGAGAACATGGTAGGATTTGCAAATATAGACACCCCCCAGGAGCAGTGTGGGGCCAGGCCGTGAGGCCAAGATGGAGATTCTAACAAAATCTAGCAGAGAACTGATGAGGGCGGATTGAAGGCAGGGCAGTCAGATTGAGAAGGGCGTTCAGACCAGAGGGGTCCAAGGGAGGCCAAATTGTTAGAGTCTGGTCACTCTGTATAAAGAAAGCGGGGCCAGGGGGGGAAGTGGGCATACAGATGCCACCCCCCCAGGTCAACAGGGCAGATGCTGGTGCTCGTGGGAGCATGCATACCTATGGAAGAGAGGAGAGCGGCTTCAGTTTTGTTCATGCTGAGGCTAACACGCCTCAGGAACCCCCAGGGGGGTCTTCTCAGTAGGCAACGGGCTGTCCATTCCTGAGGCTTAGGAGAGAAATCTAGACAAGAAAAATAGACGTGGTACTCCTCAGCAACCAGGTGCTAGCTGGAGCTACGTGGGCAGATGAAATCTTTCAAGGAGGGTGTATGCCCAGTGGGAAGAGGATCAAGCCCCAGGATATACCACATGTGTGGGCAAAATTCTCAAGAAAGAGTCTGAGACAGGATACCCAGAGATACAGGAAGAATTAAAAAAAAAAAAAAGGCCACAAATGACCTTTTGAAGAAGAGAGCTTCAAGAGGGGACGGTGACCTGCGTGGTCAAGTCCTGCAAAGTGGCAAGTCAGGAAAAAGCCTGAAATATGTTCATGTGTGGCCAAATTTTCCCAGCCCTCATCAGCCTGTGGGTCCACACGGGGTCACATGAATAGTACCAACCACCGTTTCACCCACATCGCTGGCTTGCTGCCAACCATCTGCAGAGCAGGACCGCCACTCCCTGAAGAGAAGTCCTCCGTCTCCCATTATTTCTCTGAGTGCCTGGGAGGACGGTGCACAGGCCCAAGAAGAGTGCCCGAGTGCTCCTCCACACACACCGGCATCTGATGTCCACAGCACTTGGGGACAGGTCCTCCCCACAGCCCCCCTGAGATGCCCCCGAGGTTAAAGGGGTCCATGTCTGGAAATGCCAAAGCGACACACCATGATGCTGAAGCAGAGTATTCCACACTCTGACTTCTTCCCTGAGCTGAAGCCACAACATTTTCTGAGAAATGAAGAGGACACCCCCTGTTTGTCATCTGTTTGTGCTCCATGTCTCACAGAGCTCCTCCTGAAAATGCCTCCTTTGCCATGTGGCCGTCTGTCTTAAGGCCCCAAACTCCAGTCCCTGGGGCTGAGCTGTGGAGCGGACTACAGAGTCTCCGCATATCCCAGGCTCTGCCCCAGGGACCCAAACCCCCAGGGGACCCTGTGTACACAGATCTTTGGGGAAGTTCACTCCACCAGTTTACCAAAAACTCCACACCCACACTTGTGAATTAGTCTGTCAGGACACCTGGCTACACAATGACTTAGCAAAGGAGTTGCAGCGGAACAGCTGATAAGGAGGTCAGATTGCAATGAGGTGAGGAAAGAGTGGGAGGTGGGGAAACTACAGATAGCAAACAGAACAGCAAGTTTTCTGACATTTGACTGTGGGGAAAGGTCGAAGGAGATGAAAGGTGGTGGTGGTTTTCAACCAGGAGGGACTTGAACAAAGTTGCATGCTGGCTAAAAAGAGCCACAGAGAAGGACAGGTGACCCCCAGACACCGGGAAGACAAAGGCTCTGAGGAAATAGCCAGGTACAAGGCCTACCGATGAACCTGGGGCCCAGGGAAGAGAAGGTGGCACCCCTGAGGTCCCTGAAGAGACCCTAGGCCCCGGGGAGGAGGCTGGCCACAGGAGCGCCCACAAAAGGAAGGAAGTGAGTGGAAGAGGTGAGACAATTTGCCCTGTGCTTAGGCAGGAAGAGAGTGGGGCCAGGGGCCGGGCAGGACAAGCTGCCTCAGGCCCACCCCACCCCCCACCCTTGCCCCTAAGCACATTCTTCTTGTTGACAGAGATCTCAGTAGCTCCCTCTCTGTGACACAAATTCTGGGTTTCTCATTTTGCCATTTAATTTTAATAATAATTAGAGCTGCTTCTGGGAGTCCATCTTCTTCCGGAACTCTGTCAATTACATGATGCTGGGGACTCCACAGACATGCTGATCATGGAAGGGTCCCTCGCTGGCCCCAGCCCCACCCCTCCTGAAGGAGTTTCAGTGTAAAACTTCCTGCAGAAAAGAACAAAATTTTACTTTAAAAAAAAAGTGGTGTGGGGCGCCTGGGTGGCTCAGTCGGTTAAGTGGCTGCCTTCGGCTCAGGTCATGATCCCAGGGTCTGGGATCGAGCCCCGCATCCGGCTCCCTGCTCGGCAGAGAGCCTGCTTCTCCCTCTGCCGCTCTGCCTGCTTGTGCTCTCTCTCTCTCTGTTAAATAAATAAAAATCTTAAAAAAAAAAAAAAAAAGTGGTGTTTCCCGGATTGATTGATTGAACTTCCTGCACACAGAGGGGTCAGAACTGAACCTAGAACAGAAGACTCTGCCCGCCTCCCCCACTAGGGACTGTGGGCTGGCCATGCAGGGAACAACATCACAGTTCCCAGCTACAGCCCCTGCTTGAGGTGAACGTGGTAGCCCAGTTATTACACCACTTCATTCCCAAACACTGAAACACTGAAAACAAAGGGGCACAAACGGAGGGTTAAACAGAGAAAATTACCCTCCTTGAACGTGCAGTTTGAAATCCAGGTGTGTGCTGGAATTTGCTTTCATGGTAAACTGATGTTCAATGGTCCCAAAGTCAAATGCTGATGGCCATAAAGAAGCAGATGCCTCCAAGACAGGAGCTAGCCTGTGGCCTCCAGCAAACGGGAGTCACCGTCCGCCCTGCCGAGAGGGACAGCAGCTCCTCAGGCCCAGCTGCTGCCACAAATCCATGCGACCTGACTTTTCAGACAGAGATTGCAAGACCAGATTCTCCTGTGAAATCTCCGGATTTTTAAGGGTTGGGAACTAATTCCATTAAAGCAATCACAACCGCCAACACCCATCAACCGGGTCAAGTCAAATGCCTTCAGAGCCACGTCAAGATTGGATTCAGAGTCCCAATTTCAGTTTCATTTCCTCTAAGGTGATTTCCATGTTTCGTGAGAGATTCTGTTTCTGCGTGAGCGTTGGCGGCTCTGAGAGGTAAAACAAAGATTGGACTCCTTCCTAAGAAGTCACTGCTGGCTCAGCGCCCTCCCTGGTGCTGGTCTGCATCCTTGATGCTTCCCCAAAGGGTAATTTGACTCTGCTCTCTGCCAAAGGGCAGGCGCTCCTGAAAAAGCTGAGGACAACACCGACACCCTGGACGTAGCTATTGATGAAATACAAGTATGCAGGGGCGCCTGGGTGGCTCCGTCGTTTAAGCGTCTGCCTTCAGCTCGGGTCATGATCCCAGGGTCCTAGGATCGAGTCCTGCATCAGGCTCCCTGCTCGGCGGGAAGCCTGCTTCTCCCTCTCCCAATCCCCCTGCTTGTGTTCCCTCTCTCACTGTCTCTCTCTGTCAAATAAATAAATAAAATCTTAAAAAAAAAAAAAAAGGAAATACAAGTATGCAGTCCTCGGCGTCTCTAGCTGGTGACTCATACCAGACTGAAATGACATTGGAGCTGTCTCTTTAAAACTCGAGCACGCTACCGGGCAAACCCCTCCTCCAGGGAGGTTCCTTTAACTGAGGGCCAGCTGGCCGGGCCACCGGTTTACACCCGAGCATTACCGGCAATTGAGGATTCCTCCCCAGGAGGCAGCTGCCTGTTAGCATGGCTCAAGAGTTTGTGAACAGCAAAATCCAGCCCAGGAAGGTGGTTGTGTTCATCAAGCCCACCTGCCCCTACTGCAGAAGGACCCAAGAGCTCCTCAGCGAACTGCCCTTCAAACAAGGGGCTTTGGAATTTGTCGATATCACGGCCACCGGTGACACAAGCAAGATTCAAGATTACCTGGCAACGCTCACAGGAGCCAGGACGGTGAGTTCTCAAAGGCTAGGCAAAAGGTTCTCAGATTCCCTTTTCTTGTGGGGGCTGTGCAGGGGATCCGCCTGTGCCTTTCTCTAGGACACCGCTAGGGCTCCGGCACTCAAGGCGCCGCCAGAGGGCTCTGCGGGGTGGGGGAGGGCGACGGAGAGAAGACACCGCTCCAGGGAACGGGCCGCTGGGCTGCAGCCAGAGGTCCTTGCAGACCCTGTGCCCGTGCGTCCCGGTCAGCGGGCCCAGCCGCTGTCCCGGGGTCGGTGAGCTATCCGGAGTCTTTGTTTCAAGCACTGCCAGGAAATGACAGTTTGCAGCTGGCAGGGCTGGGGTTGGAAGGTGGGGTGCAGGGGCCAGGGTGACCTGTGTGTTTCTGTTACTGAATGTGGGAATCGTATGCACTCTTTCTTATGTGTTCACTTGGCCAAGCGGGATTTGCTGTCCTTCAATCCTTTCTCTAAGCTTTCTTTAACCATAAACCCAATTAGCCCATTCTTCCCTATCTTACTTAACTCCTCCCACTGGAAGAATCTAAAGGCTCATGATTTGCCCCTTCTTCTCTGAGATGCTTCCAGGCCTGTGCTAGTAGGGAGTTCAGGGGCCAGAGTTCCAGCCTGGCTCTCACAATGGCTTGCAGTGTGATCCTAGGCAAGGCATCACCTCGGTGATCCTCTAGGACCTCCCCGGCTGCAAGACCAGACCAGAGCAAGGGACCAAGTCCCCTTTGCTCTCAATAGACCGTGAGCCCCTCTAACTACTTTTCTCTACCTAAAAAGCCTTCCTCTGCCTCAGCACCCCTGGCTTCTGGCGGCATGGCCAGGCAGCCGGCTTGCCTGAGTCCGTTCTGGCGCTGGGTGGGGTAGGGGCCGGCCCACCAGCTCACCCCAGTCCCCCTCAGGAGGCACATTCTCGGACACAGTGTTTGCAGAAGCACGTATCCTGCTTCGGTTTGAGTTTGACTCACGGGCTTTTGTCTAGGTTCTGAGCATAAAGCATTGGAGGCTGTTTCTCCTTGCCCCTCCAGTCAGAGATCAGTATTTTGGCACAGAGGGAGGCTAAACCTGTTACCCTCTTGCTTCCAGGGCCCCAGCTGTGAGCTGAGGACTCTTGTGGCTGAGAGGGCGGTCCTGCAGCGGAGGACACAGTGGTCAGAGATTCCTGCTGCCCGGGGCCTGAGAGCCAAAGGGCAGGGCAGTCCCTGCCAAGGACCCTGCTGTGACGGGTAGATCCCTCTCAGCCAGTGGCTCCCAAACCTTGCTGCACATTGGCATCACACGGGGAGCTTTTTAAAAAATCTGGATGCCCAAGTCATTCTCCGTATCAGTTACGTCATTTATCGGAGGTAGGAGCCAGGCATCAGTAGTTTTAAAGATCCCCAGATCAAAGGGTACAAACTCTCAGTCATAAGATGGGGAAGTTCTGAGGATCTAGGGGACAGCAAGATGACTGTAGTTAATAATACTGCATTGTATGCTTGAAGTTTGCTCTGGAGGAGATCTTAAGTGTCCTCACCACACATAGACAAAAGTTAACTATGTAAGGTGATGGACATGTTAATTAACCTGATTGTGGTGATCATTTCAAAATATGTATGTATATCAAATCATAATATTGTAGATCCTCCATATACACAAATTTATTGTCAATTATACCTCAATAAGGCTGGAAAAAAGTTTATTTCCTACCAAAAAAAAAAAAAGATCCCCAGGTAATTCCAATGTGCAACAAATTTTGAGAGCTCCTTGTCAGCCTGGCAGCCTCTCTTTAGCTGGAGAAAACTTTCATGCATTCATTCGACACATTTTTTCCCCCTATCTCTTCATAAAGCGGCAATTTTTTAAGTTTGTTTTTGAATTCTTAAAGAGACCTTTCACAGGTTCTTGAGCCCTGAATGCACTCCTCCAAGGGGAAGAACAGATCCTTTTACCAGGCTGCCTTCAGGTTCCCTTCCAAGGAAGGGTTTACATCTGAAGAGACGAGAGACTTGGAAGTCGCTCTTATTTACCCTGTAATGACCTACGGTGATGGGCACATAGCAGGAGCCCAGCCCGACCTGACTGGTTCCAGAAACTTGTGTCTTCGATCAGGCCGTGTACTTGGAGAAATTGTTTGGGTTTTGCTATGGCCAAAACTCTTCTATAAGTACCTTCATTTATTCTTTCTCTCATGCTCTTCCTTTATGTAGATCCAAGTTTCTGACCCTTATCATTTTCCTTCTCTCTAAAGAACTTCTTTGAACATTTCCTGCAAGGCAGCTCTGTTGGCAACAAATTTCCTCAATTCTTGCTTGTGTGAGAAAGTAATTTCTCCTTCACCTTTGAAGGATAATTTTTTTGGGTGCAGCAATTTTTTTAAAGCACCTACTACATATCAAGACACTTTTAACCGCCATGAACAGAACAAAAACTCCCGCCTTTGTGGAACTTACATTCTAGTAAACACAGTAAGTAAAACAGTTTGTTGGAAGGTGGTCAGTGATAAGTGCTATAGAGAAAAACTAGGTAGGAAAGGGAGGTGGACAGTAGGCAGCAAGGTCCAGTTTTAAACGAAGCCATCAGAGCCTCACTGATCTTAGATCTCTAAAGGAGGTAAGAGAGCAATGCAGGCAGAAATTTAGCGGTAGAATGTTCCAGGCAGTGGGAACAGCGAGTGCAGAGGTCCTGTGGTAGAAGTGTGCCTGGCAAGGAGGCCTGTGTGGCAGGAATGTTGTGAATTAATAGGAAAGTAGGAGGAGGTGAGGTTGAAGAGGTAATGGGGTAAAGGCTGGGAAGGCTTTTCAAGCTGTTATAAGGACTGTGGCTTGTGAAGTGCAATGAGATTCCACTGAAGAGTCTAGAGCAGGGGAGTAACCCAAACTGAGTTTTTGGAAAGGGTGGTGGCTGTGGGAAAAAGTGAGTGTAGGAAGGCCAGCCTGAGGGCTGAAGCTGGGAGACATCTGGAGGCTACAGCAGTTACTCAGATGAAAAATGATGGTGGTCTGTACCAGGGACATAGCCAGGGAGGGGGTGAAGAGTTTGCGAAGTGGCTGAGTCGCTGGCTCAGAGCGAGCCCCCTGGAGCACAGAAGAAGCTGCCTAGCTGGGGCTGGAGCCAGAGAAAAGTACACCAGGACAGTCCAGGCCCCACTATCATAAAGCTTGCTTTTACAATGGCAGTTCTCTTTCTGCTTCTTGACAGTTAGAGACTCTCAGGTTCCTGGAAGAGGGTGCTGGGGCCAGGAGGGGAGGACACGGAGCATGTGTTCCTTCATCCTTCCTCAGCAGAATCAACAGATAGCCTCTGGGTCACCGCAGCTCCCCACACTGCCCTGGGTGGCCTGTAGTCCCACCCCTTTCGGAGGTTCCAGTAACCGCTCTGCTGTAAGTGGTTTGGCTGTTGCCTAGCCTAGAGGGTGGGCATAAGGGCAGAGGGGCCTTTCAGCTTTCGGGCAAACCAGCCCCTTTGCCAGGTGGGGTCTAAGGAGAGACTCCTTGCTCCATTGGTACACTGTCTCCAACTAATTCAAACCCTCTCAGCCAACACCCCAGTCAAAGGTGGGGATGTGGCAAGCAGTAGGAGCCATGACCATTGCTCAGTTCTTTTTGAAAATATAGACGTTCAAGAGTGAATACATCTCCTCCTTGTTTAAAGCTCAGATGGTTTCGGGGCACCTGGGTGGCTCAGTCAGTTAAGCGTCTGACTCTTGGTTTCAGCTCAGGTCAAGATCTCAGGGTCATGAGACCAGCCCTGCTCAAGCTCCATCCTCAGCAGGGAGTCTGCTTGAAATTCTTTGCCTCTTCCTCTCCCTCCCCTCTGCTCCTCCCCCCACTTACATGTTCGCTCTCTCTGTCAGATAAATAAATAAAGCTCAGATGATTTCTATTTCATTAGGCAGTGCCTTTAACAGAAGGAGCTTTGCAGTATAATTATATTAAAATTACACTGGGATTAGGTTCTAGTTACTGCTACACTGACCACAGCCAAGTGTTCCTGGGGTGATAAAAGCCAAAAGACCCCCAATAATTTGGAGGAGTGGGAGCTTTGTTCTAAAATAATGGAAGGACCCAAGGGAAAACTTAGGTTTCTGACCTCTTTCCACAGCTATTCTGTCAGCTGATAAAAATAATGTTGCCCTGATGATGTTCCCCATTTACGAAGTCCCCACACAGCCACGGGGCAAGTGGGGCAGGCAGTGCTGTCTGTGACTGAAGAGGACATTCGTGCACTTTCTCACTGACGTGCAGTTTTGTGTGCTCTTTCCCAGTCTCCGGGCACAGGAAATAGCCATGGAAATGGGGTGCAGATTCGTTTAATATCTGGATAATTAATATCTTAATCTTTAAAGCTCACTCCCACCGAGAATACCTTCTTAACAAAAACACTGTAAGAACTTATCTGAACTAATTCTGCCCTCTTTCTCATCTCTCTCGTGCTTTAAAAAATTCACTTGAATCTTTATGCCTTCTGAGGAAAATCAAACGCTTTGAAAATATTTGTACTGCCTTCTGTCTTTCATCTCTCCTGCCCCTTGTGGTAGGTTCTTAGGGTTCAGGAAGAGGGCCTGCTTGCTTCTCAGTCAGGTGACCTGTATGGTTTGTTTCTTCATTGCAAGTCAGCTTTTCTGTACAAGTTGGCCTAGAAGTCCTAGAAGTTGTCTGGGCCACAGTGAGAGGACTTCCTCCTCCTTTCAGGACTCTAAAAACCCTCAGGAAGCTAGCAGCACGGAGGGAGCCTGAGTGTGACCAGAGAGGATCGCATTCAGCAGGGGTAGCGACTCTGTCAGCCTGCCTTGCCTTGGGTGACCCACACATGCCCGAGAGTGAAACAAAGCAGCTCTTACTCCCAGAGCGACAGCACTTGAACATCTGATGATAGGCCAGGGATGAAAAAAGGAGTCACATACCACCACCCCTTCCCCAGCTGAGGACAGAGCTCACAGCAGAGAGAGTTGACGAATATACCGTGAATCTAACAATCAGGGACCAAGACCTAATGCCAGTACTCTTCTAGCTGTGTTTAGAAACCAACTCCTTGAGAGACAATGGACTCTGAGAAAGAGACTGAGGGTTCTAGAGGGGAGGAGTTTGGGGGGATGGGCTAGCCTGGTGATGGGTATTAAAGAGGGCACTGGGTGTTATATGCAAACAGTAAATCATGGAACACTACATCAAAAACTAATGATGTAATCTATGGTGATCAACATAACATAATAAAATAAAATAAAAAAAGAAAAGAAACCAACTCCTTCCTGGTTGTCGTGACTCAGCCTCAGGGCTCAGGTGTGGTCCCAGTTGCAGAGACACCAGAATTCAAGCAGGGTGGTCTGGCTGCAGCCAACCGAAATTCTTTCCCTGAAATGTGTTTCTCGAGAATGAGATTTTTAAGTTATTTTTACAAATTAGACAGTCTCACGCACTGCTCTCTCCATATGATAAACATATTGGCTTACAAACATTCTTTGATGAATAATTTTACGCTTGTAACAAAGTTCTGACCTGAAAGAACATACATGAGGAGGTTGTAAAGTGATTCTAAAAGCTTTGGATCATGGGAAATTTTTAAAGGAAGGAAAAATGTCATTCTTTCTAACCTGGTAATGAAGCTCCTTACCTACCTTAGCTTGTTTGCTTTTTTAGGTACCTCGGGTCTTTATCGGTAAAGATTGTATAGGCGGATGCAGTGATCTGATCAGTATGTATCAGAGTGGGGAACTACTGAAGCGGCTAAATCAGATTGGAGCTCTACAGTAATTTTGGGTGAGTGAAGGGTGGGGTGCCTGGCCAGAACACTGGGAGATGGTGGAATTCTGCTGGATTTTATTATACTCCAGAAAGGCAGTTCAGTTAGAGGAAGAGTGATGCGGAGTGATTTAAAGAACTGTGATGTCATTGAGGAGTTTACAAAGAGGTTGTGTGGATAGGAGGAAATCCTTTTAGTTGACCTTCATTTAACAAAAATGTATTGAGCACTTACTATGTACGAGGCACTGGGAATAGGGAGAGGAACAAAAAGATAACAGGGAACCTCTCTTCTAGAGTGGCAGCCCAACCAAAAACAAGTAAGTAAATAATTCCTGAAACAAATTAATAAAATAATGTGATAGAACGAGGCAGGGGGTGGGGAGCAAATTTAGAGCTAATATGGTGAAGGAAGGTCCTTCTCAGCTGGTGGAGCTGAGACCTGGTTGACAAGAAAGAGAGAGCCATGTAAAGATAAAGCTAAAGAGCTTTTCGGGCAGAAGAAATAGCAAGGACAAAGGCCTGGAGCTGACAACAAGTCTGGAACATTCAAGGAACAGAAAGCAAGCAAGAAGAGATTGAGTGAAGTGCAAGGAGAAGGAAGAGTAGCAAGAAGTATGGGCGGGGAGCCAGGGTGCAGAGGCCATGGTAAGCAATTTGGATTATTCTCCATGCAATGTTGAAATCAAAGTAATTTTTGCATTACCTGTGTTCACACTGTAAATCAATTTAATCTAATTGGATTCCCAAATGTCAAAACAAAGTTTTCTGCAGTTGTCACCCAAAGGAGATCCTTGGCTGAATGGAAAGCCATAGGGTGATGAACTCTTCAAAAAGGGAACCAGGGTACTTTTTGGGGTCTGATGAGCTCTTCTTTCCCCTAGCTCTCGTTATAGTTAGCTAGTTGCTAGTAGGCCGGTTCCACTGACTGACAAGCAGAGAGACTCAGTGGGTTTTTTCAGTCAAAGGAGATTTTGACTAATGTATGGTTCTCAGACCAAAATATTTTTTGAGGGATATTTATTGCCCATTAATTAATAACTTACCCTTAAGCAATGTGTATATGTAATTTGTGGTGGTTAACTCAAAATACCAACAGAAGCTAAAAAAGACTTTCTGAAAAAGTATAATTGAATACCTTGAAATGAAGTAGTCAATACTATAAAGCTCCTAATCACAATTCTTACAACATCATTGCAGCAAGTGAACACTAAGTCTGTTTGTGGCCTCACCCCATGTATCAAAGTACTCAAAACCCAATTAACTGTGGTGCCAAATGTTTTCTATTCTGGAACACTTTTGAGCAATTTAGACTTAGATTAAAAATGGAAGAAAACCAATGACTTTGTTGGGAAGATATGAAAGACCATTTCCCCAACTACCACTGTCAGGGTGGGCGTTAGAGTCCCCCTTATTCACAAGGTCTATTCGCACTGTCCTTCAGCATTCTGTGATCTCGGTATTTTGCTGCCAACTGTATCTAAAGGCCATCTGTAACAGGGTGCGCTCAAATAGCAAGGGTAAGTATTCTGGTAATGGAAAAAAAATGAGGGGACTTTATATTTCCACGAAAATCCACTTCTTTGTATTTTGTTTTTCTGGCAGAGCAGATCCCAGGATGATATCCCGCTGAGAGCTGGATGGCACTTCAGTGATAACCACACTTCCTGGTGGATGGATCCGCGACTAAAATCCACAGCAACTGTTTATTTAAAATTCTGAAATATATTAACAAAAAAAGGGGGGGATTTTTTTGGCAAAAAGAGCTTCTTCTTCTTTTGACTCAGTATTAAAAGTGGACCAACTTGCCCCAACCTACAGGTCTGAGAAGGTTGATGGATATCTTGGGTTTCTTCTCGATTGGCCCTTTGGGTTCCAAAAGACCGTGACAAGTGATGGCTTAGGATTCACTCAATGATCCAAAAGGTCGTCTTTCTCTTTGGCACATGTCTGTTCCTAACTGTCCCATATGCTAGGACACCTCTACCTCCAAGCCAGTGTTTGTCAACCAAGTTTATCCCAGGCCCCCCAGGATGAATCTGTAATTGGTTTTCTGCTACTGCCTGGAAAGTACTTTGTTGAGTTTGACTTTATAGAATTTGCATTACAAAAACAATAGGTCTTTTGAATGTGCTTTTCCAAGCTACATGGGTCTCCCCAGTCATGATCCCCATCCCACCCCATCTTATCTTGAGAATCACTGCTCGGAATCAGTGTTCTTAACCTCGACAAGTCACAGATTCTCCTAGGAAGTGTTCAACAATTCCTTGAAGGGTCTTAAGGACCTAATTTGAGAAACACCACATGAAAACTTAAGCATGGTTGGTCTTCACTTGATGGCACAGAGATCACAGCTGCTGCAATCACGGGCACCTCTGTTATGTAAGATGGTCGTCCAGGTAATCCAGAATAAGTGTGTATTAACTTGTTTAGATTATGAACAGAAGTAAAATACAACATTTGAAATGTTATCACCGAAAACTTGCAAACCCCTCCCCCAAGAATAGGTCTGTGAAAGTGGCCATATTTGAGAAACACGGTCCTAAACGATTTTTTCTCTCTCCTTTTTCCCTCCACTCTATGAAAACTTGAGTCCCTTATTGTAAAGTTTGTTTTAGAATTGCGATTTTAAGTTAATTTTCTTTTGCAGTCTCTAGTGTGAATGGTTAATTGAGAGTGATTTTTGTCTAATTCTTTTCTATGTTCTCAATACCTTGAGGAATAATATTAATGTGAACTACACCATATTAAAACTTTATTCATGTTTGTCCCCTACCATTATAAATAAAGGCACATGCTATTGTCCTTCACTGAGTACAAATGGTTGGTGTGATTTTTAAATTTCGTATTGAAATGACAAATAATTTGAATATGTCAACACTAACCTATTGAATAATGTTTAGAATCCTGTAATAGTTTCATTTCACATTCTGTTTTTTCCATTTCTTACCTAATACCCTTCAACCAAATGGCTGTGGATGATTGTGCAGGTTACATCCTGCACAACACTGTGAATGCCCCCCTGGGGGTTGTGAGGTGTCCAAAATCCCCTCCAGACCATTTGCCCATACTTGCTTTCACACTTCATCCTCAAACACCCCTTCTTCACCTTTGATTTACTTTCAAACTTCTCCTTCGAGGCCTGATCTACAGATTATCTCCCCTGTACCTACCCTCTCCTCTCACTGCCTTTGGACGATGAACGCCACTGCTCTCTCTTCTGTATCCTAAAGCATCTGCATACTGGTACTTCAAAACTCTCATAGGGTTGAACTGCAGTTAATCCTCTGTACTGGTCTCTTGCCAGATTCAGAAATACTCAAACGCAAGAGTCTCGACTTAAACTTCATTGTATGCCCAGTTTCTAGCACAGATCTTTTTTTATCAAAGCAATACATGCATGAGATTAAAAATGTCAAACAATACTGAAAGTTCTTCCTATTCCACCCATCTGCAAACCCTGTTTTGACCACATATTTATCAGTTTCATTTAAACTTCTTAAGAAATGTAAGATAGGGGCGGCCTGGGTGGCTCAGTTGGTTAAGCGTCTGCCTTCGGCACAGGTCATGATCCCGGAGTCTTGGGATCGAGTCCCACATCGGGCTCCCGGCTCAGCGGGGAGCCTGCTTCTCCCAATGACCCTCTCCCCTCTCAGGCTGTTTCTCTCTTGCTCGCTCTCTAATAAATAAATAAAATCTTAAAAAAAAAAAAAAGGTAAGATAGGTGCCTGGGTGGCTCAGTCGCTTGAGTGTCTGCCTTCCGCTCAGGTCATGATCCCATGGTCTTGGGATCGAGTCCTGCATCGGGCTCCCTGCTCATCGGGGAGCCTGCTTCTCCCTCTCCCTCTGCCCCTTCCCCCAACTTGTGTTCTTACTCGCTCTGCACTCTCTCTCTCTCAAATGAATAATAATCTTTAAAAAAAATGTAAGATCTATTAGACCTATATAAGAGTGTGTAGAATGCATAGTTCTGTGTAAATGACCAGCCATATATCTGCCTCCTAGGTTAAGAAATGAAACCCCTCTCTAACAGAGCCCTTCTAAGGTACTGATAAAGCACCAGAGAGGCCCATGTGCCTCTTCCCAACATAGCCCCTTCCTCCCTCCACAGAAGTAACCACTAGCTCATTTTTGTTGTAATCATTCTTATGCTTCTCTATGGCCTTACTCCCTAAATATCCCTAAGCAACACATTTTAGTTTTGGAAAAGCAGTAACAAACACCAACCCAGCTGTGTAAGGCAAGGGCAATATTATCACCATCAGGTGAATGGCCCCAGGAGAAGATAAGCTGAACAGAGGCTCAGAGTCTTCCACTGGCTTCGGTTTCCCTGGGAGTTTACCAGAGGGGTGGCCCTGAATGAGTCCTTGGGCACCCCAGGTACCCCCTGGTGGGAAAGCCAGTGTGGGAACAAGTCCTGGGCATCGCCCAGAAAGAGAGTCCATGGACGTGGGCGGCTAAGCGTTTTCTCCGTCCGCAGCCGCCCGCCAGCCATCAGCAGCGGGTCAAAGCGCAGCGCTCGCGCGGCGATACGGCTCGCCTGGACCCTCAGCGAGCGCAACGCGTGGTGCGAAGAATGGAAACGTCGCCAGCACAGGGCAAGCTAAGTACAGTAAGAGTCTGCTTCGGGCTCGTCTGGGCACTCTCTGCTCAAGTTAGAAAAAAAAAGATGCCAACTAGAGAGCCATCAACGGCTGCAGTCTGGGCTGGTTGCCCTGTATGTCCGGGCACGGCTCTCTGCCTGGGCTCTCGCTTCACTGCCATTCTGACTACTCTGTTTCTCTCCTGGGCTGGCTCTCCTGCTTCCCTCTGTCCGTATACATTTGTTACAGCTAAACTGCTTTAACAAAGGCATACTCTCTCTCCGGACAGTCCAGAGGCAGGCGGGGGGCTTGGCTCCACGAAGTCACAGTCAGCCCAAAGGTTGTACGCACCACTTCTGCTCACGCCCCATTGGCCAGAACTGGGTCTACCGCCCCAGTTAGCTGCAGGGGAGGCCAGGTCATGCTGTCCCCACTGGGAAACCCCTTGCCCAGCTAAACTCCGAGAGGTCTACGCCAAAAGAAAGAAGGAAAGTTGGCAGATTGTGTCTTTCTCTTTTTTAGTCTTCTTTTTTATTTTGGAAGACCTATATCCTCCATGGTTTTTAAGGAAGCATGGAAGGTGAATTTTTTGAAACCTTGCGTGTCTAAAACTGCTTTTATTATACCTACCCTCCTATTTGACTGATAGTTCATCTGACTATAGCTTCTAGTTGGAAGTCATTTTCCTCCAGAGGTTTGGAGACACGGCTCTTGGTCTACTGTTTGCAGTACTGCTGCTAAGTCTGAAGCCATTCTCATTCTTGGTCTCTTGTAGATGACCTGTTTGGTTTTCTTACTTGTTTTATACTCCAGAAGCATATAAAATCTTCCCTTTAAGGCCCATGTTCTGAAATATCATGGTGATACGCCGTGGGGAGGGTCTATTTATTTTCATACATTTTGGGGAGTACATGGAGGCTTGGAGGGTCCATAGGCAGTTTTATTGAATTATTTGATACTTTCCTCCCTCCCATTTTCTCTGTGTTCTCTGTGTGGAACTCCTAGTAGTCAAACATTGGCTTTCCTGGACTTGTCCTTTAATTCTGGTTCTATTTTTCTCTTATTTTTTCCCCTGAGGGATCTACTCATCTTTATCTTCTTATTTTTCTGGTGAGTTTTTAATTTCTGACATCAGGTTCTTAGTTGCCAACAGGTCTTCAGTATTATTTGAATGTCCTATTTTTATAAGATTGTCTTTGTTTCATGAATGCAGTATCTTATCTCTCTGAGGTTATTGTGATTTTTAAAAACTTCTTTACTGAATTTTTTCCAACTGTGATTTGTTTTATTTCCCAGAGTTCTTTCTTGTTCTTAGTTGTTTTTTTCTTTGTCCTCTTGTTCTTGTATTATGAATGCAAACACATTTTTTTTTAATCTCTGAAAGATACTAATTATACTTGGGGCTTTCTAAAAGCTGTCTTCTGATTCCTGCATTCTCTCTTTTTTTTTTTTTTAAGATTTTATTTATTTATTTTTTAGAGAGCGAGCGAGAGAGAAACAGCATGAGAGGGGAGAGGGTCAGAGGGAGAAGCAGGCTCCCCGCTGAGCCGGGAGCCCGATGTGGGACTCGATCCCAGGACCCTGGGATCAGGACCTGAGCCGAAGGCAGACGCTTAACCATCTGAGCCACCCAGGCGCCCTCCTGCATTCTCTCTTTTCCCACTGAGTCCCTATTTTCTATTTCTGCTTTATATTTGAAGGCCAGTCAATGTTCTGCCCTGAACATTTGAGATCTGGCTATCTGCACCTATTTAAGAATGAGGCACCAAAAACTGGTTAGAAGATCTGTGTGCACAGATTGGGTTCATCCACTGGTGACCTTCACCACAGTCTTTGTGCTAATGTCACCTTCTCAACAGGTTTCCCACATTACCCTCTTTAAAGTTTCACCTGACATTCCCTATCCCTCTTCCTTGTTTTATTTTTCTTTATAGCATTCATTACCTAATATAGCATGCCGTTTATTTTGTTTGCTGTCTGTCTTCACTAAAATGTAAGCCCCTTGAGGCCAGGAATCTGTGTCTGTTTATTTATTGCTCTATCTGCAGCATTGAGAAGACTGGTTGCCCATAGTAGGCATTTGATAATATCTGTTAGATGTTTGGATGGATGAATGAATGAATGATCAGGTGAGGATCCCCCAACGGTTAGTTCTGGATGTTCTTCTTTTAAGCCGTTGGGTTTCCCCACTTTCACAGCTGAGGGGTTGGGTCTGGGCGCCAGGTTCTGGCTGCCAAGCAGGGGAAAGGGATTTGGCAGCCCCCAGGCCAGTGTGCAGTCTCTCCCGTAATCTCCTGTTACCCATCAGCTCCTTGCTGAGTAATTCTGTGTGATATGCAGGAAGAGAAAGGAATATCATCTGAAGGGCACCAAGAGGTTGGCACAAGGGGTTGGCAGAAAGAGCAACAAGAATAACCAGGCAAACAATTCAGAGCCAAAGCTCTACTCCTTCTGTTTACTTTAAAAAGAAAGTGATTCAGTCTCCTGCACATGTCCCATTTGAATAACAGCTGTAGATCTGCTGCCTCCAGCCTGGCCCTTGGAATGGGACAGCCATCCTTCCAAGTTCAAGGCTGTCCAAAGATGGCCCTTAAGGGGAAATAACACCTAGGGTGATAAATGGGTCTGTGTGGCCCAGATCACACTATTTATCTCCCCAGTGAATATTATTAGGCCATTATCTTAACACTCGGTTGTAAGAGAAAGCCACGCTCCCTAACTCACTGTACCACAGCTGCTGTTAGCAGGTTCTGGGAAATATGTTAAAGAACCGGCCTCCTTGGGGCGCCTGGGTGGCTCAGTCGTTAAGCGTCTGCCTTTGGCTCAGGTCCTGATCCCAGGGTCCTGGGATCGAGCCCCACATCGGGCTCCCTGCTCGGCGGGAAGCCTGCTTCTCCCTCTCCCACTCCCCCTGCTTGTGTTCCCTCTCTCGCTGGGTCTCTCTCTGTCAAATAAATAAATAAAATCTTTAAAAAAAAAAAAAAAAAGAACTGGCCTCCTGAAATATTTTAAGTCAAATTTCTTTCTTATGTTAATAGCAGTCTTTTCTTATTAAATACATTCAACATTTGAATGGGTAAAATTTACTCCTACAAATTAATGGAAGGGAATTCTAGCCTGGCCCATTTAAATACCGGTGATATTTAAACACAGGTCTAGATTTACACACAGGTTTGTATTTGCTGTCCCCAGGTGACTTCTGGTGAGCTGTGCAAAGCTGAAGGGGGGAGAAGAGAGG